CCCCCCTCCCCCCCCCCCCCGCCTATTCAAAGCAACGGGTTTTTCTGGACCATTCCAATCTGCCTCAAAATTGTAGGGGTGCATCTGAAATAGACCGCAAAAACAGCAACGGCAAAAATACACATTCGTGCATCATCACGGGCATGCCTGCAGACGGCGTGTGAAATTGCGTGCCGATTACACAAAGGGAACCCAGTGCTTTGACTGCGAACACGAAAAACCAGCTCTTCACAACACTCCGTCCAGAGGTCCTGACCTCCTTCACGGAGTAATAAATAAGATAAATTCTCTTTCAATGTCTAAAATGTGGCTGTATCTCTCTCCTTGTCCAGTTGTATGACTTCAGTGCCCCTAAGGAGTGCCCGTGTGCAGTAGCGTACCACCCCTCCCAGCAGGTTCTGGCCTGTGGGTTTGAGAATGGCTGTGTCAGGGTCTTCAATGTGGCCAGCACCAGCCTCATAGCAGAACACAAGTAAGAACATTTCAGTGCCATGTATACTGCAGTTGTAAAAGTTAATTATGATTTTGTTGCAGTTCCTATGGATGACTAAAAATCTATCGCTTAGTTTGCTACCTTCTTGAATTATGCTTAAAAAACATCTTCAAACTAGAAAGGCCAATATTTGCTTTGGAGCAAATATAGCGATGGGTTCACCACATTTTACGACATGGCAGGGAAAGAATGAGAAACACTAGAAAGGCCAACATTTGCTTCGGAGCAAATGTAGGAATTTCACTCCATACCCTTCCCCAAACAAAAATGAGAGATTCTAAATAAATCATACTGCAATTATACAAGGACAAGCTGTTTGAATCTCGACAGGTATTTACAAAACTGGCACTTGGCAATTATCTCCCTTTTTTTTACAAAGATACAACGACACGCACTTTAAATCTCGACAGCTTTACTTTACACTTTTGATGAGATTGTAACTACTACTAACGGAAGCAAAATTTTCACGGCCTGAGAAAATGGACATGTTCACGGAACTATATATTCACGGTGGTGACAGCTGCAGGAAAAAGAAAGTCCGGGAATTATTTCCTAACTGTAATGATAAGTTCACAATACAGAGGTGACAGTGAAAACCGTGAACATTGACCCCCCGCTTGCGTTGCGGTACAGTGAAAAAAAATCGGGAATTACAGCAATCAATTTACTGAGTATGTTTGCTTAGTTTCCAGATGTTTTGACTTGTAGTTTTTAAATGAACGAAACCCAATGCGCGCACAGATGTTACTTTTGTGACAACATCAAAAGTGATTTTGGTTTGTATGTTGAAAAAATACAAAAGACTAACATTCAAAGTTATTGAAATTCTTGAGTAAGAACAATCAGTTTTGGAATGTTAAAAGCAAAGCAATGGATATTAAAACGAAAATGTTAAAATTAAATGTTGAAATTGTTAAAATGTAAAATGGTTAAAATGGTTAAAATGGTTAAAATTGTTGAAATTGTTAAAAATGTTAAAATTGTTAAAAATTGTAAAAAGGATAATTAAAAATATCCAGTGTACCGGGGTTCGAACTCGTAATGTCTGGACTTGCAGCCCTGCGCGTTACCAACCGAGCTATCTGGACACGTTTCCATTACTCTCTGCATTGTATGTCATATAAAGTGAACAACATGGCGGTAACAATCGCTTCAAGTACTAGTAAGGGACTTTCTAGGAGATAGCGTTACACTCTACAATTTTGGTGATTCTTCAGAAATCGATAACAGAATATATAATACTAGTCGGTGAAGATTGTGGAGCGACGCGAGTAATATGCCGCCGCGAGGGACGATTTGCTGCCGAGGGACTTTTGCCACGGAGAGAAGGTTTCCGCGCTCCAAGGTCCTTTCTAGTCGCCGATTGGAAGCAGTCTTGTTGGAGCGCGGAAACCTTCTCTCCGTGGCAAAAGTCCCTCGGCAGCAAATCGTCCCTCGCGGCGGCATATTACTCGCGTCGCTCACAGAAAAAATTACGCCCACGCCCAACAAGACTGCGAAGGAGGCTAGGCCGAGACCGCGTGGACCAGCTGCGCTGGTACGTGAAAATGGTAGTAAATAAATTAATTAGCCAACAGCCAATCAACAGCCACATCTGCAAACATGACCACACCTGCTTGTATGCCCATATTTGGGCCTTCCCCCGAATTCCTTTCTTATTACGTCACGCGCGTACGCGCCCACAGTACTTTCCTATGGGGACCACTAAAAAGCAAATAAAACGATTGTAAAAGCTTGTATCAAAAAAATTTAAAAAACGCCTAAGGGTATTTACCCACTCTACCTCTATACGAAATTACAGGTAATTTCGCCCAAAAATGAAGGAGTTGAATCAATTTAAAGAAGTGGCAGGAGGAGGAGGAGGAGGAGGAGAAGAAACATCAGAAAAAGCAATATGGGTTCACCACCACTTCGTGGTGTGGTGAACCCATAATCACAGTTGTCAGATCTAGATGCACGATTCACTCACTGACTCACTGCAGTTAGCCATCAAGCCTCAGATTCCTGTGAAAATTATTATTATATGTCTCTAATATATTTATAAGAAGTGATGTAGATGTAGATGACATAAGAAGGGATGAAACTAAATATGATATATGTTGGTGAAGATTAGACATTCAGCCAGGTAATAAGATACGCCAAAAGACAGTTACTGAAGCAACTGGATAATTTTATGATTTTGGAAACAGACGTTTCAGGTAGCATCCACTACCTTCACACTGGAGACTTGTCAGAAAGGCAAGTTTATAAGCACGAAATATTTATTGATAATGCACAGTCATAAATGAAGACAAATTTTTTTGTCCAAAAGGAAACAACAAAAGTTCGACAAGAAAAAATGTTCTCACTTATTTGCATATCAATCAATAGTCCGTGCTTATATAAACGTGCATTTCTAACAAGTCATCGGTGTCACTGAGGAAAGGTACATTAAATACCAAAATCATATGATTATCCAGTTGCTTGAGTCTTTGGCATATGATACATGTAATTATGATATGTTGTCATCTATTTCTTCACCTTGTTACATATTTTACATGTTGCACATTATGTTCCTTACAGACAACACCGAGGGAAGGTTGTAGGTCTGACGTTCTCCCCTAGCGGCTCTTACTTGTACAGTGCTGACTACTTCGGTACCCTGGTCATGTACACTACCACTGAGCCTGACTACGCTATCATCAGAGTTCTGGGTAGGTCTTCAATCAGCCTTGTCCAGTACTCATCTTGATACTGTTAAAATTCTCTGTTCAAACTAGAGAAGTAACATTTGCAAAGCAAATGCATAATGTTTACCTTCGGACATGGTCTGCTCTGTTAATTTTTACTCGAACACATTCACATACATGTACTACAAGTATATGGTGACAGGAGCAGAGCAGACCATGAAATTGCAACATTATGTAACCCAACACCAGTCACCATGGTGACAGACGTCAACAAATCATGTCATTGGCCAGGTCTGAGGTTAGTGTTTGGAACAGAAGAGGAAGAAGAAGCTGAGTAAAAACAATATGTTAACTTTTCCTTCGGTAAACATAATAACAGCAATATGTCACCTCACACATATTACAGTACTGAACATGTGTGAACTCTATTTAGTGTATTAGCATTTAAGGAGCAAAGCAGAAGTTAAGAATTGCTTTACCATGACAGTAGTGAGTGAGAAAACATTTCTGAAAGGTGGAGGAATACTAACAATGACTAGAAAAGTAACATTTGCCATGCAAGCAAATGAATAATGTTTACCTTTAAGTTAGCATAGGGTCTGCTCTGTTAATTCTTAATCAAACACATTGAATTTCATATACATGTATATTAGTGATAGGAGTCTAAATCAAGTTTATTTATTTATTTGTAATAATGTTTACCTTTAAGTTAGCATAGGGTCTGCTCTGTTAATTCTTAATCAAACACATTCATATACATGTATATAAGTGATAGGAGTCTAAATCAAGTTTATTTATTTATTTGTAATAATGTTTACCTTTAAGTTAGCATAGGGTCTGCTCTGCTAATTCTTAATCAAACACATTCATATACATGTATATAGTGATAGGAGTCTAAATCAAGTTTATTTGTTTATTGGTAATAATGTTTACCTTTAAGTTAGCATAGGGTCTGCTCTGTTGATTCTTAATCAAACACATTCATATACATGTATATAGTGATAGGAGTCTAAATCAAGTTTATTTATTTATTGGTAATAATGTTTAAGTTAGCATAGGGTCTGCTCTGTTAATTCTTAATCAAACACATTCATATAGTACATGTACATGTATATAGTGATAGGAGTCTAAATCCCTCCTGCTATAAAATTGCAACATGATGTAACCCAACATATGTACACCAGTTTTGCCATGGTGACAGACGTCTGGTTCAGGTCATTGACCTTATTGGTTTGGAGAAGGAGAGGATACAGAACTAAAACAATTTGTTTTACTTTGGTGAAAACATAATTATTATGATAGTATTACTCATATAATAGAACATGTATATCTACAAGATTGATGTTAAGATGATTAGCCAACTAGAAAGGCCAATATTTGCTTTGGAGCAAATATAGCGATGGGTTCACCACATTTTACCACATGGCAGGGAAAGAATGAGAAACACAAGGGAAAACAATGCTTTACATTGATATAACTATAGTATGAAGTAACATACAACTAAGACTACAACAGTTGGATAGCTATTCCCTACATTATTGGTTAGGATTGCATAATGCAAACTGTTGATTTTCAAGATAAAAAGAAGCGTTCATAGCCCGCATTCCAATGCTGGAGCAGGAAAGCTTAAAATACCTACCAAAACACTTGAATACAGACATACTGTCAGTATGGCATGGCTCTGTGCAGGTGTAAATGAAGTTAAGCCAGTTAAATCCCAACAGCCAATCAGCAAGGAGAATAGAGGAAAGCTGCATGCCTATTGGTTGATGCCTTGCATGCCATTGTG